CCCCCCACCACCCCCACCCCCACACCCACACCCCCCCCCACCCCCCCCCCACCCACACCCACACCTACACCCACACCTACACCCTCACACCATGAAGTATATTTTAGGTTACTGTTTAAAATGCTTTGCTTTCTGGAAAAAGTATACATACTTGAATACAAGTTGAAATATTAAAGAGAACACAAAGAGAGTCTTAAAAAGACGATCCTCTGAGTTACAAGTCTAAGAAACTTCTTTTAACAGAACAAGCAATCGATACGGAACCAGTGATGCACGAATCTCAGTGAAATATTCAATTTCTTCGTTGCTGATAAAATCACAAATAGGCTGATTCCCTTTCGCCACGGTTTCACGCTGTACCTTAAATGTATCCGGCTTTTGACGACATTGAAACACTAGTTGGGCCGTATACCTTTTTCCAGATGAAGAAGTAAAGTTATTAAGAACACTGTAAACTTCAAGGCTTGAGTAGCGTATTGATGGTGATGTGTAAATATGTTTTTTGCCAGGAATATGACCTGGTCGTATGCCGAGAAGGGTTCCATTCAATAGTCTATCACCAGGTATAAGAAATTGGCGGTTTGCAAGTATGGACTCCGCTGCATATTGGCTTGTACCATGGTATGTAACGAGCCATTCGCTCCACAGTTTATGATAGTTAGCAAGTGCTGGATCGACAGTAAGACCAAAGCCTGCATATCCTCGTGGTACAACATATCTGTGCCCAGCCGCTAAAATCACACTAGGTAACGATGGTGAATAGCAGTGGTTGCAGTAACACCGATCGTGTTTGCGTGTAAAAAAGCATTTTTGCCAATCTAGACTTCGAACATACTCCAGACATAGTTTGAACCAAGGACATTCAATTGATTCCGATTGAGAAAGCTGACTGCTATCATTAACTTCAGCATATTCCTTTCTATTCGAGACAAGTGCATCACGGTCATCCAAGTTGAAGCTTATTTTACTTTTATTATTGTTCATGACGTCCGCCAGCTGTAGGTTTTTCTTTTCAGGTTTCTTCTGTGCAAATAAAAGCTCTCGATAAAAATTTCGTACTTACTAAGAGGACAGTAAGGGAGCACCTGTAGAATGAAGAACTTCATTGTGCGCCGTTCTACTCACATATTATCTGAGTTAAATGACAGGGCAGTAATAAGAATCCACAGCTAATCTTTGGTTAAACGTTGATTTTCGTCAAATAGAAAATTTTTCTCTTTAACGTTGTACACTTATTTGGTCTGTAATGCATTCAGTTAAAAGAGACTAGAATACTGAAGTCTTTTTTCTAAAAATATTTAAGCAATGTATGTATCTATGGAATCGTATTAATGCAGAATCGACTACGGACTTTCATCAAATAAGTGACATCAACATTAAAAGATATCATCTGTCACGAGATGCAGAATTGAACAAATCTATGTTATACTTTTTTTTAAACTTATAATTCTCTCGATTTTTATAGTTTATGGAAAATACGCATATGAGAAAAGTACAGCAAAAAACCGTAGAAAAACTTTATGCACGCTGTAATTGTTTTTAAATTCTGTTTTGTAGAAAATCGACTTTAAATAAGCTAAGGCACTTTCGAACTTTTATATTTCATTCATCGAATTTCTGTTATTCAGAAAATGCTTGATTTTCTATATAATAGAAATTCAATTTAATTTACTGCTTAAAATGCAAACTTGACTATAAATATTTTATTTTCAAGAAAGTAGAAATTCATCACTAAATTCATATGGGCATTCCTAGAATATCCTGTATGAATTCATATAGGCATTCTACTTTTTACAGTGCAGTCGTTCTAATTTCACAGACAAAACGATCATCATAAATTCTTTTGTATATCATGGCACCTGCTTGATTTGAAAGCAATCACTCGGTTATATCGATGTTCATGCATGAAAACTTTTATGAGCCTACTGAAACATAATTTAAGAAAATGATCATGTACTTTTATAGCAATCAAGAAAAGGACAGGCACTCATCTGGGCTCCACTTTCCGATATGCAGGCATAAAACCCAAACTGAAATCCTCAGCTAGCCGAGTCCTGATCAGTTTATGAGGTAGAAAAATCTCTCTTATGATGACTCTCGGTGGAAAATTCTAATGTATCATGTTGTTTAGATCCAAGAGTTGTTTATTGTGACCTGAACATGAATTTAAATCCTATAAATTCAAAGAATTTCTGGTTTGCATTTTTCAAAAATGTCTTCTCTTATTCAAATTATTCTTTTTACGTTATAGAGTTTAGAGTGCAATATTGCTGCGTAGAAAATAAAATCTTCATAAATATCGTTAATTGGCATCTTTATCTTTAAAAGCAATACCAAACTAGAACGAAGCTTATATCTAAATTTACAAACCAGTCGCCACTGCAGACGCAGATTCCCAGTGAAGATATATAGATTATGAAAGGAATCATTCATTTTAAGATTAAGAAAGCTACGGCAAACATCATTCTTACTGTATGTGTCTCCGGGCAAAACACGATGAATAAACATTCCTAATCAAGGCCTAGTGCTGAGAATTGTATCGCTAGAAAAAAATTCATGAAATACAGAAGTAAAACTATTTTGGCATAAGGCGAGCTCTGGGATTGAGACAATCTGTCACAGTGCATTTAGAAAGTCATAAAAAACTAATGATTAGAGTGGCTGATCTTATAAGTAATTAAAGCAGATTTGTTGTTCTAAAACACAGGCACACTTATCAGTAAGTAGCTCGGCAGTTAAGATAATTAGCATTAGTTTATCTGGGAAGCATAACTGCTAAAGATGACTATAGAGTGTATATATATATATATGACTAGTAATTAGTTTTTTACAAATTATTACACATTGATTACCTGTTCTTCTTTGGAAAAGCCATTTATGTTAAAATGCGTAGATTGACGTCGATCATAAATACCTAGAAAAGACTGTAAGTAGGTAAGACTGCTGTGGAGCTGCTCAATGTTTAAGGTAGCAGTGTTTTTGCATTTTTAGTATGAAGTACAGAAAAATCAAAAGAGCAAGAGAGAAAGTGAGACTCCAGTACTCCAGAGTACAGATGGAGTCTTGGTGAAGTACAGTTGAAGCACAGAGAGTACGGGTGGAATCTAGATAAAAACACGCCATGTCTAGACTCCATTAGTACTCCGGAGCGCTGAAGTCTCGTTTTTTCACCCTTGCAAAAGAGCGACTGACCTACCTACGGTTGGATGTCGGTATTATCAATAACCTAGATGCATAAATAGAATTACTTCTGCCTAAAATATGAGTTTAATGTTACTCTTATTATGGAATTTATACTTTCCAATCAAGAATTATCTCAAAAGTTGAATGTCACAGAATAAGATAAATGCCCTTACAGAATAACGTGATTTCCTATTAGACACGGCAACAAAGGAAGTCTTCTTCGATCAGATCGTTATACGTCTTTTTAATGTTACGACGGGTAGTAAAGAATTCTGATCTACAGTCACATATTATAACACTTTCTTTCCATCGAACTTCCAGCACAATCTAAGAATTTCATGATTGCGGATCGACTGTACTCCATATCAATTTAAAAGTTGGAAAAGGGATGTTAAGAGACCGTGTGAAAACTAGAAGAAACGCAATTTAGAAAAACTGAACAAATACTTTTGGTTAACAGGCGCACGAACATTTTCTCAAAGTTAAACAATTTGAATTCCTTGGAAAGATGAATTTCCCATGCTCTCTTTGTATTTACTTCCATTTCATAGCAATAATAATCATTACTTATATCAGTTTTAAATTTAGTACGAGATGAAATTTAAGTAGAATTGAAAAGAATTATGTCAACTAAGAATACTACAAATAGGAAAAGCTCTCTTTGGGATAAGAAAGTATATTTATTCGAACTTAGCTAAATGCATCCATGAACTATTCACATATATTCTATTTGCTGCATAGAGTTTGTGAAGCATCTCAACTCCATACATACTGGATTAAATTATAGTCTAGATATGAAATGAAACAATAAAAACACAGAAGGGCACGATTGCAATTCTCTTAGATTGTAAATACAGACAAAGGTCAGCTATACATTTAATAAATCGACTATTTTATTTACTTACCTGGATGCACTCTATCAAGACTAACCGTTTGAACGCCACCATTGCCCATTTTCGTAGGTATCTTATGGTAATACGGTATGCTGAAAGAAAATGATGACTGAAAAAAAATATTATTCTCAGCTTCTACGAATTCTGTGATGAAAATCAATTTAAAAAAGAAAGAAAAACAATCCCGAACAGGACAATTGCATTTAACAAACGCGCTACGAATCACTTCATTATAACGGTTGCGCTCAACATTTGAAAAAATTTTCATTGTTTACACTTGATGCACAATTTTGACATCGTACTGGTAATGCTATCAACTTTTTTCCTTTTTTCAGTGCAAGACCATGTGCGCCGCTTCGACTCGCATGCAAGACAAACATTTGTGAAACACTATTTGAAAGGAGCGTTAAAGTGTATAGAGTAAGAATATGCCGAACACCCCACCCACCACAGATCGATGCAAACTCCTAAACCATCATAGACCGTGACAGAAGATTCTTTATGGTTTTTTAAACTATTGTTGAGGACTTTACTACGTCGAGCATATCTTCTACGAAAAGAGTTGCAAAAATCTGGTTTTCTCTAAATGTTATGATTATTTTTGTTATCTATTGTTTTTCTTTTTGAGTCCTTAGAAAAATAGGTACCCTTTTCGTGGTGTGTTATGCATAAAAATTTAAAACAACAGAAAGCATCGACTTCACATGCCGTGAAAAGAGCGGTTTTACTCGCATTCATACATGTATTTGATACCATTTCTATGTAATTCCCTGTCATAAAAAGCAGAAAAACTTGTTTTTTCGATTTCTCAATGGCAAAACATCTTTTAAGTTCAAAACTTGCATCACAGATAGTTATAGTATTACTCTATCCACTGGCAAAGTTTCAACTGTATACATCAAACATTGCCTGAGAAAACTGAAAATCAATCCTACATACTCACACGTAACTGTGACAAAATGGATTCCTTTTGTTCAGTAATACTTCAATCAGGAAAAAAGGGTCAAAAGACTTCGGTAAACTCTTAATTTCTATAATGAATCAATCACCGATATCCCACCCATAGGTAAAGAAAAACGTATTCTAGTTGTCATTGTGTCTTTACCCAAGTTCTATAGGTAATGGAAGCATAGACATCTGTAATCTAGAAAGAAAATTCATCGGTCTCTGAAATACCCTCTTTTCCTTGTATTGCAGACACAGCGTACGATACAGATTTAGAAGAGATATCTTAAATATGTTGGGAAACAGTAAAGTGGCACCCGTAGGTGAAAATAGCAATTCTGATGTTCCATCAGCGCCCGGTGAAAATACTAGCGATGACGTTCTGCTTCGGCATTTCTTGAAATATGTGCGTGGAAAGGCATGTTATGATCAGCATGCAGCTCAGGAAGCGAGAATAATAAGTGACACACAAAAAGCCGCCTTTGAAAGCGAAATATGGACATTGATTGAAAAACGATCAATAAGTTGGGAGGAAGTACCGGATGATGGAAACAACGCGCAAGGGGAAGCTGTTGGACATATTTTCGAGAAATATCATTATAACTCACCTGACACGACTTTAAACAAGCTTCAACGTGGTGGTGAGCTGTTACGGAATACAAGAAAAAAAGACCTTTGCCCTGATTGCCATGGAAATGGGAAAATACAATGCTTTCTCTGCAGCGGAAGTGGAACTAGTTTTGGAAAAAGGTGTCCAAAATGTAGTGGTCAGAGTTTTAGTTATTGCAAAAGATGTGCAACAAAAGGCAACATTATTCGTACCGCAAGAATGAGCATTGAATGGCGTACAACTTATTCAAATGAATGTCACGAAAATACTTTTCTCCCAGATGATTTGATTAAAAAAGCAGAATTTAAGACGGAACTTGTTAACAACGAAGAGTTCTGCAAAGATGATTGCTT